GCCGGAGATGGGTAGGATTAGGGGTGGGGTTAGGGATCAGGGGGCAGAGATGGGTAGGTTTATTAGGTATATGTAAGGTGGGAGGAGTTGGATCCTCCCCTGGATTTCGTGTTCTGCAGTGAGGACCATCTCTCTACGGGAGTGCTAGAGATTTCGATGAAGATGAGTAACAGCTTTTTAGTAATTATAAAGGGAGCGCTCGTTGTGTGCTTTCTGGTATCCATTCAGAATTTGTATAAAACTTGTTTTTCATGCTGCTAGGAAATGGCAATGATTGACATTGATCGCCATATCATTGTTTGTTCCTGAATAAAGCAGCCTTTTTCGCTGAAATGGTTGAATAGTCTGCTGACTGACTTACTCACTCACAACAGTCCTCTGCCGCTACCTACTGGACGCAACTATGTAAAAATCGTATGTACTGAAATCGTTGAAAAATCCCCACCAACACACAGACTGTCAGCCTGTTTTGTCACAATTTATATGTTTAAAAACTAGTTTCATGTGTTTAATCAAGTCTTTTGGAACACACATTATTATCACAGCGTCACATCAATCATCCAGTTGTTTTTAGGGAAAATACTACATTTGTAAATAAAGCTAGAATCATTCTGTTGGAAGTAGCCTACACTACTGATCAAAAGTATCTTCTGCTCACCAAGCCTACATTGATTTGATCCAAAATATACTAAAAACAGTATAATTATGAAATATTATTACAATTTAAAATAATAATACAATAAAATGTAATTTATTTCTGTGATTAAAGCTGAATTTTCACCATCATTGCTCCAGTCTTCATCACATGATCCTTCAGAAATCATTCTAATATGATGATTTGATGCTCAACAAACATTTATGATTATTATCAATGTTGAAAACATTTTGTTTTGACTTTGAGGAATAGAAAGTTCGAAAGAACTGAATTTATCTGAAATAGAAATAGAAACTTTTTGTAGCATTATCAAAAGCTTAGTTAGGAAGAATTTATAAAAAAAATGTTGGGAAAGAAATGAATACTTTTATTCAGTAAGGTTGCATTAAACTGATCAAAAGTGACAGTAAAGACATTTATAATTTAACAAAAGATTCTATTTCAAATAAATGCTGTTCTTTTGAATTTTCTATTCATCAAACAATCCTGAAAAATAAAAATGTATGACGGTTTCCACTGAAATATGAACTGTTTCCAACATTGATAATAATCATAAATGTTTGTTGATAATCAAATCATATTAGAATGATTTCTGAAGGATCATGTGACACTGAAGACTGGAGTAATGATGCTGAAAAACTTTTGAGAATCTCCTGGACATGCCGATGTTAAACTTATGAACTATTCCAAAGACTGTATCCTGTTTGCCCAGTTGTCCGGCACCCTTTGAGTAAAGCTCCCATAATCTCATCTCTACAGTCATTACAGCCTGAACGTATTTTTCCATCCTTTTGCTACTGTTTAAGTAATAAAAAAGTTTTGAAGATAGATATCCTTTTGAAGTTACTGACTGCTCCTTTATCACTGCTTTCTGAGACATTATGAAATAATTATTCCTGTGCCACTGTTGAATCTGACAGTGATACCCATCCAGTGAGTCTGGAAGCCATCTGATTATTTTCTACATGTTTTTGAGACATTTCTTTAGTTTAAAGGTCCCCTGACATGAAATTTTCACTTTCTGTTTTTTTTTTAACATTAATATTAGTCCCACTAGCCTGTACTTGGTCCCCTCGTGTCTAGAAATTCCAGTATTCGTCTATTCCAGATAGTTTTGGCTATCTTTCTCTGCCTGTGAGAAAATGAGATCTCGGACGAGCTGATCTTGAATCTCCACTATATGACGTCATATAGGGGAAAGGTTACCTCCCCTTCTCTGCTTTGCCCGCCCAGAGAATTTGGCTCGCCCATGAGAAAACGAGCTAGGAACAGGAAGTACGAACGCGCCTGCGCGATTTTAGTTTTTCCTAAAGAAATAGCTTTGAGATTTGAGTTTTTCCTCGAGAGATATCATGGCTTGCAAACGAGCGAAGCATGGCAGTTGATCAGTGTTAGGATGTACAAATGAACACAAAAGTATTTTTTAGTTTCTTCATCCGAGCCTCTGAAGAAACAATGGGTTAATTTGATTTTCTCTGGAAATGCGCCGACAAGTTGTGTATGGTCCAAACATTTCACCGACGACTGTTTCCTCAACTCGATGAACGTCTGAAAATAAATCGATCGAGCTACCAAGCAACAAGATGTGTAGCCTAATTGTTCAAGTTCAGACGGGTAAGTTAATCTTTCTCTCAAAATCGTTCAATACTGTTTATGCATCAGTAAGTCAAGCCAGTGACTAAAATACTTCACATCGTTTCTTTTAGTAGGATGAAAATAATCTTATTTAAATTCTGAATAAATTATACAGAAAGTGATCAAAGAACAATCTTTCCACACACAGCGCGAGTTTATCTGGACAACTCGTTATGAAATCAAGGACGCACGTTACACTGCTCAACAAAGCTCTTACTGTATTAGGTATTTACATCATTGTGTTTGCATTGGGGAAAGCATTAGAGAGAGAGCAGAAACTGAGTTGCAATGATAAGATCTTCATTCTCGCGATCAACAGACTATCATCTGTTTGCTCAATGCTCATCACGGCAACATTTTATGTGATGGGAATAGATCTAAATACTTAAAAAACTTCTCACGATTCGTTAATCTCGATAGCTGTAATAGTAAAAACGTATAATAGCGGTAGTAAAAGTATTCGAGAAAGTTTCGCATGTAATACATAACTATTTCATATGCAAGCATGTCAGCCAATCACAGCAGTGGCTGGCTACACTGAATCCCACAGCAGACACGCCCCTTCAAACAGAGCGTTCAAATCAGAGGCTAAAATCAGGCTAGGAAAATTACCTTTTATTTCTAAATTATGTCTATTTTTGATACTAACATTATAAGGGCAACCCAGGAAACATTATAAAATAATAAAATAACCCCATGTCAGGGGACCTTTAAGTAATTTAAAAGAAGAATAGTAGTTTATCTCTCTTTGTTCTATAACATTGGACTGAAAATATGTATATATATATATATATATATATATATATTATTCTTTATCAACAGTTTTTAATAAATAGTATATGTTTATGCATATTATGACAAATATATTTTATATTTTTTATAAATTGTATTTTGCGAGACTAACCAACTAAACAACCCCCCGCCCCCCAAAAATGTTTTATGGCGATTTTTTTTTTTTTTATGGTGGGGACCCCCCATAAGACTCAGTTCGAGCACTGGTTGTGCTAATTAATGAGCACAGATTACTGCAAGGATTAAAAAAATAAAATCACTGGCAGCATCCGAGATCACATAGGCCTACTATTTATTAAATTTACTGTATTTTCAATGGCATCCGCTGTAAAAAGCAGTATAAAGCTCCTATAGATCACTTATAATTTTCCACAGCTCATTTTTTTTTTGTCAACTGAATTTTTCTGAAAATTATTTTTCACCGAAGAGATGTATGTCTGTCTATCCCTCTCAGCCTCGCTTTCATTCCCTTTAAAGATGGCGCTGCTGTGAATGTAAATTGGAGAAAGCGTAACTACTAATTGGGCACAAGTGCCTTGACAACCAATCACATTAAAGCCTTGACATCATTGAATTTTGTTCAGAGTTGTGCTAGAGTCATTCACTGTTTACCATATGCTGTGTCCTGATTCAGAGGCTTCATCCTTTGAAGGACTGAGGGCTGTTAAATGGGACGGTCTAGCCTATGGAGGACTGTTCTTGTCTCCTAGCAACTGTGACAGCTGCCGAGGCACTGGACCTCAACTGCATAAAAACAAAACGGTTCACAAACTGTCTAAATATGTTCACCTTGGTCCATTTAGATACATAATAAATATATCAACTCAGGGCTCCAGACTGCCACCATATGGTCGCATTTTGCGACCAAAATTTGAGTGTGTGCGACTGAATTTTACATCCAGTCGCACATGTGCGACCAGCAAATTTGTGCTTTTTTTTTTTTACAAGTTAAACGTGGAAGTTGCGCGTTAATGAATCCGGAATGTGATGAGTGTGAGAAGAATAGGGAATGGCCACTGTAACTGGCTAATGCGTGGAGGGGGAGGGTCTATAATCGACCGCGCGGCGCGCGTAAACATCTGTGGGAGACAGACAAAATATCACAACCTTCTATGCGCACCTTCGCACCAACTCTTCCGACCTGCGGCTAGTGTGCCAGAGTCAGTGCCACAGTCTGATGATGTGTCCGAGGTTTGTGTTGCGAAAAAGTCCCGAACCCACCATTTTCGGGAAGAGTGGGTTCGAGATTTTAGCTGGCTGAGGTACTGTAAGGAGACGAACTCCATGAACTGCGAGTACTGCAGTCGCTACCCCCAAAATGCGGGAGAAACGAAGTTTGTCGACAGTGCAGGCACTTCGCAGTTTAAACGCAATGCTTTAGTTAAACATAGTCTCAGCCTTAAGCACAGAGTATGCCGTGATATGTTCATAAATCAAAAAGCAACGCCACTGCCGGTTGCTTTTAGAAGACAAGAGGCTGTAAATCAGAGCGCAGATGAGGCAGAGATGATGTTGAAATTTAACACGGCCTACTTCGTTGCTAAGGAGGAACTACCCTTCACCAAATTCAAAAGCCAGCTCGACCTTCAAAGGAAGAATGGCTTAAAAATTAACGAAACATACAACAACGATACAGTATGCGCACAATTTGTTGGAGTAATTGCGGATACTCTGAAGGGGAAGACTTACACAATGATCAAAGATGCTCCGTATATATCAATTATGATCGATGGGGACACCGACGTTTCAACAAAGGAATGCGAAATCATATACGCAAGGATCCTAAACGAAGGGAAACCAAGGAATATTTTGATTGGCCACATCGAAGTGAAACATGCTCAAGGTATGTTTTATATATTATATATTTAAATTATGTTTAGACCCATTACTAAATTCTTTAGCTGTCTTTACTGTGAATATGTATCAGTTTAAATAATTACTCAAGGTGCCATAATGATTAAGCTGTGATGTGTGATGATGACAGGGGGGGAAAACTTTAGTGAATACAAGACATAATTGTACACCATAGTCATAACGTGCTTGCATTTTAAGGTGTATATGACGCCACTAAAGAGGCATTTCAGCATCTAGGAACAGAAGCAGTGTGGTTAGAAAAGACAGTTGCCATGGGAGCTGATGGTGCAGCAGTCAATCTCGGGCATAAAGGAGGGGTAATAGCCCTCCTCCAAGCTGAGGCAGGGGGTTTTATTGTCCCATTTCATTGCATGCCACATAGGTAGGTTACATGTGAACCTTCAGAATAAAGATAAGGTAGTAGCCTAAATAATGCATGTTTAATTTTAAGTTGAATTCTTTGTAATTGTAGACTGGAGCTGGCAATGCTATCTGTGCAAAGGAAAATTCCAATGGTGGATCATGTCTACAATTTCCTCAACATGGTTTGGAAGACATACCACTTTAGCAGCAAATCTATGAGAGAACTACGAGCACTTGGAGAGGAGTTGGGTGTGCGTGTCAATGTACCAGGTACTGTCAGTGGGACACGCTGGCTTCCACATGTGAACCGGGCCCTGCAAACCTTGCTGAAACCTGGAGGAAAGGATAGACATCTGCAGAACCATGGCCAGTTCACAGCAGTTTATTACCACATGGAACATTTGACTGCATCATCCACCAATGCTGATATTGCTGGAAGATCAAGGAAGGTCTGTATTTAATTTCAAAATGATTTCATATTTGGGAGGCATTCAAAATAACTGATATAGGTGGTTAGTGGTTATTAATTGGTTATGTCTTGCAGGTCAAGAAGATGATGGAAGATGGAAGCTTTGTGGGTTTCTGTCACTTCTTGGCTGACTTGTTTGAGGCCATAAGCAAATTCAGCCTTCTTCTCCAAAGAAATGATATTATTTTGCCTCAGGTAATGTTGACATGTTAAGAAGAATAGTTTAAACTTATTAAAACAATGTTAAAAAATATTTTTTTATCAAGGAATATGTAGCGTTTACCTTTTATGTGTTTTTACAACTTAAATGTTTTACAGGCTGTGAATGGAATTGAGAATCTCCTTGCAACTATTGAGGCCATGTCAGTGAGATGCAAGCCGGGTGGTAGGCTGGCAGAATTACTGGCAGACCTTCAGGCCCAGAGAAGACAACAAGAGGTTGAGGGGGAGACACACCTTTTGTACAAGTATCAGGTGAGCAGTATTTTTTTAATTACGTTTGAAGTTGATTTATTTTATATTTATTCATCTTTTATTCTTGTCTAAAATGTTGAATGTTGTGTGAACTCAGGGGATCATCATCAAATGTGAAGCTGCTGGGCTGGGAAAGGAAGGACTCTCCGTGGCAAGCACACCTAAGCTGCAACAAGCAGTGAGAGCAACCATCGACTGCACTTTGCTTCATTTGAAGCAAAGATTCAGCAGTCTGCTTTGTAAGTGAAAGCACAGAATTATATATTTTAAAAGAAAAATATGTGAAAATAAGATAAACTATCATTATAACACATTCAACTTTCTCTTTCTCTCAACTGCGTCTTTCTATTCCTTGATAGATGAAGAGTCTACATCAGCATCAACAAAGGCAGTGAAGTCATTCAAGATATTCAGTCATGATTCCTGGCCAGAGCAACGAGAGCTGACAGACTATGGTGCAGAGGAGCTGGACTTCCTGCTAGACCACTTCAACTCTGTCTTAACAAGGTTAGTGACTCTTTTTAAATTATCAAAGTTATAAAAAGTATAACACAGAGCAACATTTCAAACATCTACTTTGATCCTTAACCTAGATTGTTTGGTCAGTTTTTCCTTTCACTCTTTTCAGAAATGGCTGTGATTCCAATCTGGCTAGAGAGGAGTATCAATCCATGAAGACATTCATCTTTAGGAACTACATGGGCAAGTCTTACCATGCCTTATGGGAGATGATGGTAACAAAGTTGCCATTCTGCTCTGATTACAAGGTACCCCATTTTGATCACATCCTTGTTCATTTAATTGGTAATTATTACTTTTTGATTAAATAAAACCTACACTAATGATCCAATCTTTGTAGAACATCCTATATCTTGTGCACATCATGCTGGTCCTCCCAGTCTCCTCTTCTGTATGTGAAAGGGGATTTTCTGCTCAGAAGAGGATTAAATCTGATGTAAGGGGGTCCCTGCATGTAGACACTGTGGAGGACTTGATTCGAATTAGCATGGAGGGACCTAGTTTACAAGAGTTTGATGCCAAGGAAGCTGTACAAACAAGGATCAGTCAGGGTAAAAGGTCTAGGAGGCCAAATTACAAGGGCTGGCCTTCTGAGCCTCCTAGTGGACCACAGGAGGATCTTCTCTAAGGGGGAGTGAGTAAAGGCAGGCACACGTTGTTTTGGCCTACTTGTTCTAGTGGAATGTTATTGGCCAGTGCCCCTAATGTTTACATACGTCAAGTATCGTTTGTAACTTGTTACTAGGCACTTTTTCTGAATGTATCTATGGTATATATATATATATTTGTACTGCCATGACAGCAATGGTGCTGTCGGTTTACCTTGTTGTTGCATCTATAAAAGTGCACAATAAAATGTGAATTTGAAACAGCACATTGTCATTTCTGCATCTAATATCAAAGTATTTATTAATAACACAGTGGAAATTAGTAGAAATGTGAATATTTTGGTTAGCATGTTGATTTACGGTGTGTGCCCCTACATTTTCTGGTTGTGCCCCTAAAATTTTCAGTTGGGGGCCACTGTGCTCCTAGTGAAAAAACTTAGTCTGGAGCCCTGCAACTATATAAAATCTCATCTTGGTAAGATCAACATTTGAACTGCTTTAAAGTTTTATTTTTTTATTTTTGTTTTTGTTTTTTTTTATACATTTATATCAGATATTTGAGTAAGTTGAAACCCAATACTTAGGTTTAAAAGTGTAATTTGGCAATTTCTCAAAAAAATCCTGTCGTCTCTGGTGCGCAATGAATTCTGGGGTAGAATGCGAAAGATCCGTTGGATTCTTTGAAGGATGCAATTGGAGGCCGCATTTGAAGGAGCCTTCGAGTTAGTACAGCCTTCGTCGCGTAGCGTTGACGCAATCGACCTTTGAATGCGGTCTTCGAAGGAATTGACAGTCTCTGAATTGACCTATGGCTAAGCCACGCCCCCAAACGCGATGAGCCAATCACAGTGCGCATAGCCAACCCAATACACTCGGACATTCTCTGCTTCCACGTCCATTGAATTGCATTGCAGTTAGTCAGTTCTCTTACGAAAGGGTTCTCTCGTATTGCGTAAGTTTAGCTTACGCTACGGGAAAGATTCATCTTCTCGAGATATTGAAGCCAAAAAATTATCCTTAATTTTGTATATGTTGTCAACGCAGTGCAGCAGCTAGCAGACCTAGAGCGAGCATCCTAGCGCGCTCATAGGCTGCCCTGCGGGAACTGCACAGCCTACCAGTGAGCCCGACGTGACGTCACGTCCGCCGCGTCCTAGCCCGCCAGAATGGGCGTGGCTTAGCGTATATAAGCGGGGCTCGAGGCTGAGGCTATATAAGCGGCTCCCTCGAGCTTCGCCGACGCCCTCCCCGCCTCTTCTCACCGACGCGCAGCCGCCAGCTACGGCCCGCCCTGCCGTCGAGTCTGAGGATGACGCGGATTGACCCGCCGCAGGAGATAGCTGTTCCATCCTAGCTTCGGATAGCGAGGAGTGGTCGAGCTCTCAACGCTCCGCCTCCTCTTCTATTCAGGAGTCTGGGAGAACACGCGCTGGAGCGGAAGCCGAACTGATGCGCCTCCTTTCGCAGGCCGTCGACCGTCTCGGGCTCGAGTGGTCACCGCCTCAGAAGCCCGCCCCCAACAGGCTTGATGGCTGCTTTCTTCAGAGTCGCCGCCGTCAAGCGCCCGCTTCCAGGCCCGCGCCCTTCCTCCCTGAGTTGCACTCGGAACTGGCTAAATCGTGGAATGCCCCTTTCTCCGCGAGGCTTCATTCCTCTGTCTCTGCGTCGCTCTCCCAAGTGGACGGCGCCGCCGAGAAGGGATACAGCTCTATTCCGAAGGTCGAGGAAGCTGTCGCAGCGCACCTTTGCCCGCCCTCCGCGAGATGGCGCTCAAAGTCTGCTCTACCATCTAAAGCCTGCAGGACCACATCTGCCCTTGTCGGTCGCGCTTACGACGCCGCCGGACAAGCAGCTTCCGCCCTGCACTCAATGGCTGTTCTGCAAATTCTCCAAGCCGATCTCCTCCGTGAGTGGGATGAGAAAGGCCGGGACCCAGCTGCCGTTACGGACCTGAGGAGCGCGACGGATCTCTCCCTTCGCGCTACTAAGTCTGCGGCCCAGGCCCTTGGGAGATGCACCTTTGGCTGACGCTGGCTGACATGAGAGAGTCTGAGCGATCCAATTTCCTCGACGCCCCCTCTCACCCTCCGGTCTCTTCGGCCCAGCAGTGAATGGAATCGTCGACCGCTTTTCTGAGGTACAGAAAACGTCGCAAGCCATGAACCTGTTCCTGCCGCGTCGCGCTATCTCCGCTGCAGGTCGCTCACGTGACCAGCCGCCTGCACGAGCCGCCACGCAGCGCCAGCTCAGCCCAGACAGAACAGCCAGTCTTCGCAGCGACAGGGCGGCCGCCCTAGATCGCGCTCAGCTAGCCGCAGCAGGCCGCACCCCCCACGAGGGCCTCGGCCGAAGATCGCGTTGAAACCTGAGCACGCGAAGCCCTCCTAGCACCATCAGGAGGAAAAAGACGGTTGTGTCTCGCCGCGGCCGGACCACCGTCAAAACTTCTAGCCCTGTCAGTCCCCTCATCTCAGGCTACTGGAGTGGATCATTTAGCAGTCAACGAGTCGGTTACACAACCCGCTCGCCTGCACACAAACGCCGTTTTTACGGCAACCCAGAGAAATCTCATAAAGAGCAAGTTATCTGGTTATCCGGCTCATGCCGAAGGTGTTTTATGTGTAGTAAAAGTGCCCACAACCCAGTGTTCACCCCTACATGTAAACACAACACTTCCTGTGTCCCACATAGAGCCCACTCTCATGAAGCAGGCAAATGCTGCTCGAGTGTTGCCCATAGCAGATGTGCCCACGTGCACACATCTTCTATCTGCCCGCTCTGTCACACGGCCAAGCCGCACGCGCACTACAGTGCGCAGTCCCACGTGAGCCACAATATAAACGTAAGTCTCGTGCCCGGTCACAAGCGCTCACGCTTACTGACACGCGCTTCACCAGTGCTGTTAAACACACGCCACAAAGCGCAAGCTCATGCTGGTCAATCTATGGTTGTAAGTCACGCGTCCACCCGCGCTTACAAGCCTGCACGCCTCTCAAGGCGCCGCTCGCGCATTACAATGCGATCACAAAGCTCCACCATTCACAGTAATCGGGAAGCTGCATATAAAACAGCCTGTCACTGTTTTCAGCGAGCCGCCCCATATAAGCACACAGAGCGCGCGCACTGCGGCCGCTCCTCCGGTTCAGTCTCTCGAGCCCGCACATCGCGGCGACCAGAGCCCGGAGTCCATTCTACCCTTAGCTGCACATATAAAAGCATGGGAAAACATCCCAGGGGTATCGAAGTGGGTGCTAAGCACTATAAAGCAGGGTTATGCGTTACAGTTCGCTCGCCGTCCCCCTCGATTTCGAGCGTGGACCGCGACGACAGTGAAAGCAGAAGTAGCACACCTACTTCGCTCAGAAATAACAAAACTGCTGTGCAAAGGGGCCATAGAACCGGTACCGCCTTCTCTGAGCGAGTCAGGCTTTTACAGCCGTTATTTTCTCGTGCCCAAGAAGGACGGGGGACTCAGACCCATACTGGATTTGAGGCATGTGAACAAAGCTCTTATGAAAAGACCGTTCAAAATGCTTACAACCAGACAACTCCTCGCGCACATTCGCCAGGGGGACTGGTTTATATCTCTCGATCTGAAAGATGCCTATTTCCAGATTCAGATAATACCCCGTCACAGGCCATTCTTGAGATTCGCCTTCGACGATCGGGTTTATCAATACACCGTCCTGCCGTTCGGCCTGTCCCTAGCAACCCGTACATTCACGAAGTGCATGGACGCGGCTCTCGCCCCCTTGAGAACTCAGGGCGTGCGAATTTTGAACTATCTGGACGATTGGTTGATTCTAGCACAGTCAGAGACAGAGCTATTATCTCACAGAACTGCGCTTCTCAGCCATCTGAAATGCCTAGGTCTCACAGTCAACTGGATCAACAGCTCATTACTGCCCAGTCAGTCAATTTCCTTTTTAGGAATAGAACTGGACTCTGTGACCATGACGGCTCGCCTGTCTACACAGCGCGCGCGCGTGT